TGGAGTGGTATTTGGCTGAAGTGGTGGAGTGGTATTTGGCTGAAGTGGTGGAGCGGTATATGACCAAAGTGGTGGAGTGGCATATAACTGAAGTGGTGCGGTGGTATATGACTGAAGTCGTGGAGTGGTATTTGAGTGAAGTGGCTGAGTGTTATATGGCTGAAGTGGTGAAGCGGTATATAACTGAAGTGACAGAGTGGTATATGGCTGAAGTTGTGGAGCGGTATATAACTGAGGTGACGGAGTGGAATATGACTGAAGTGTTGGAGTGGTATATGACCAAAGTGGTAGAGCGGTATATGGCTGAAGTGGTGGAGTGGTATACATCTCAAGTGGTGGAGCGGTATATGACTGAAGTGGTGGAATGGTATATGACTGAAGTGGTGGGGTGGTATATGACTGAAGTCGTTGAGTGGTATTTGACTGAAGTGGTTGAGCGTTATATAGCTGAAGTGGTGGAGCGGTATATAACTGGAGTGACGGACTAGTATATGGCTGAAGTTGTGAAGCGGTATATAACTGAAGTGTTGGAGTGGAATATGACCGAAGTGGTGGAGTGGTATATGGCTGAAGTGGTGAATGGTATACATCTGAAGTGGTGGAACGGTATATGATTGAAGTGGTGCAGCAGTATATGACTGAAGTGGTGGCGCGGTATATGGCTGAAGTGGTGAGGGGTATATAACTGAAGTGGTAGAGTGGTATATGACTGAAGTGGTGGAGTGGTATATGGCTGAAGTAGTTGAGCGGTATGTAACTTAAGTGGTGGAGTGGCATATGACCGAAGTGGCAGAGTGGTTTATTACTGAAGTGGTGGATAGGTATATGACTGAAGTGTTGGAGTGGTATATGGCTGAAGTAGTGGAGCAGTATGTAACTGAAGTGGTGGAGCGGTATATATCTGAAGTGGTAGAGCGGTATATGACTGAAGTGGTGGAGCGGTATATGACTGAAGTGGTGGAGCGGTATATGACTGAAGTGGTGGAGCGGTATATGGCTGAAGTGGTAGAGTGGTATATATCTGAAGTGGTGGAGCGGTATATGACTGAAGTGGTGGAGCGGTATATGACTGAAGTGGTGGAGCGGTATATGACTGAAGTGGTGGAGCGGTATATGACTGAAGTGGTAGAGTGGTATATGGCTGAAGTGGTGGAGCAGTATATGACTGAAGTGGTGGAGCGGTATATGACTGAAGTGGTGGAGCGGTATATGACCGAAGTGGTGGAGCGGTATATGACTGAAGTGGTGGAGCAGTATATGACTGAAGTGGTGGAGCGGTATATGACTGAAGTGGTGGAGCGGTATATGACTGAAGTGGTGGAGCGGTATATGGCTGAAGCGGTGGAGCAGTATATAACTGAAGTGGTGGAGTGGGATATGACCGAAGTGGTGGAGTGGTAAATGACTGAAGTAGTGCAGCAGTATGTAACTGAAGTGGTGGAGTGGCATATGACCGAAGTGGAGGTGTGGTATATTACTGACTGACTGACTGCCTGAGTTTAGTTTTACGCCGCTTTTAGCAATATTCCAGCAATATCACGGCGGGGGACACCAGAAATGGGCTTAACACATTGTGCCCATGGGTATATTACTGAAGTGGTGGAGTGGTATATGACTGATGTGGTGGAGCGGTATATGGCTGAAGTGGTGGAGCGGTATATGATTGAAGTAGCGATATATGCGTAAAGAAGTTGTATATATTTTTTTTATACTTGTATATAATATATTTACCGTGGTGGTGGTCTTGCACTGTGACACTAACAAGAAGACAGGCGTACACCACTGCAATAAATAACCCCATTATTATCAACAAACTCAACACACATTCGTTACAGTTATTTGTATAACAGAGCGGTAAAACACTTATTGGGTCCGAGTCGTAAGCTGTGCCACCTTTTCATTGCCCATGTGACGTGATAAACTCCCATGACTCGCAGTTTTTCAGTTTCTGGTGAAGAGGTGGTTGGGATTTAGGTAGTTTCAAGTATTGATTTAATTCCAAATTGTGGGCAAATTGTGATATAGCTCAAATATTTTTTTAATGCTGTTGTAAAGTAAAGTATCAATAAGTTATAGATAAATAATATTGAACATTTAGAAAACACATTTTTGCAAATGTGTAAACCGATAACATTCCCATCCATGTCCTATATGCAGCGACATTCCATAGAAATCAGGCAATACGATGGTGTCAAGGGTTACAGAACACTTCGACGGTGCTCTCATATGGTGCTGTAAGACAAGACTTTGTGTAATACATAACCACGTACTTTTTACAGGCTTCTAATCCTTCGCCACCCGATTGAATGACACCCACGTGCACGACAATGAAGCTGAAAACCCTAGGCTCACTAATTTGGCATCCGTGAAGATCCGGGTTAGAAAAGGTCTACAGCAACCCATGCTTGTCGTAAGAGGCGACTAACGGGATCGGGTGGTCAGGCTCGCTGTCTTGGTTGACACATGTCATCGTATCCCAGCTGCGTAGATCAATGTTCATACCGTTGATCACTGGATTGTCTGGATCAGACTCGATTATTTATAGACCGCCACCATATAGCTGGAATATTGCTGAGTGTGGCGTTAAACAACAATCCAACAACAGTTATTTGGATTCGAACCTACGATAGACGGATCCTGTCACCATTAATGGAGGCAACTGGTGTTGCGTCTGAGTAAATACTTCTATTCATATTGTTAACGACGTGTTCTTTTTGAGAGCAAATGCTGCAGTTATCAATACTTGCCTACTGACGTCCAACTCAGTGCATCCATGTTAGAGCGTAACCTTTGGGGTAGTCTTTATGCAGAACACCAAATGTGTCACTAACACATGAAATAGATATAATTAGCCTTGAGATAAGGACGCTCCTTGTGTGGCTAGGATTGGCCCCGTTTGCTATCAGTTTTTATAGGCCAAAACACATATGTCCCATGTCAGACATTCGGGGAACAAGTTCTATTGGGACGGTAATTTCCGCCAGCTATTCTGATAGTTTTGGTCGTATTTACTGAGTATCGTAACCACGTCTCCAAGGACATTGTTACAGGAGCCTGTTTATGTGTACAATTGTCCGTTGCTATGACGGATTCACCCCAGGGAGTAGAGAATGCTCACACTGCTCCGTTAATGATGTTAATGATTCATGTCGAGTGTACTGGGCTTGCTGACAGAGCTACCAGTACGTTGTTAAGTGCTGATTCCCAGGTTGGAACTATACGTAACTGTAACTCAGTCCTTCAAAGAGATGTGATATAATTCCCAATTGTATAAAAAAAGTAACTTAATGTGCACATGAATAGGAAGGAATTGCTTATGCGGTTTTAATACCTTGTAGTACCTTCCAGAACTGTCCGTGTAAATATAGCATACCATTGCCCCCTACAGAATGTCAACAGAAACAATGTGATACACTTGAAACACTGTAACACAGTGAATAACACTGCAATACAGCGGTTTGTCATGTAGAAAGAATGTTTTCGCTTTTTCACTTTCCGTCTGACAGAAACAAAAGTGCCTATCAATAGTTGTAAATACTCAACCTCTTCCTGTACTCAATTGTCTTTTTGTATGTCTAAGCAAGAATCCATTACATACAAGCAGTCGAACGCGTTTGACTCTTTGCTTTTCCCTTGCCATGAATTGAAGAATTTCGTTAGGACAAACAGGTGAGTACCCCACTTCCGGTACGACAAACAGGTGAGTACCCCACTTCCGGTACGACAGTCAGGTGAGTACTCCACTTCCGTTACGACGAACAGGTGAGTACCCCACTTCCGTTACGACAAACAGGTGAGTACTTCCAGTACCCACTTCCGTTACGACAATCCCCACGTTACGACAAACAGGTGAGTACCCCACTTCCGTTACGACAATCAGGTGAGTACCCCACTTCCGTTACGACAAACAGGTGAGTACTCCACTTCCGTTACGACAAACAGGTGAGTACCCCACTTCCGTTACGACAAACAGGTGAGTACCCCACTTCCGTTACGACGAACAGGTGAGTACCCCACTTCCGTTACGACAAACAGGTGAGTACCCCACTTCCGTTACGACAAACAGGTGAGTACCCCACTTCCGGTACGACAATCAGGTGAGTACCCCCCACTTCCAACAGGGTGAGGTACGACGAACAGGTGAGTACCCCACTTCCGTTACGACAAACAGGTGAGTACCCCACTTCCGTTACGACAAACAGGTGAGGACCCCACTTCCGTTACGACAAACAGGTGAGGACCCCACTTCCGGTACGACAAGCAGGTGAGTACCCCACACCTTCAATGTCAGTGTTGGGGTCAAATTAGGTGGCTGACTCGAATCATGGATGGGACTCAACCCAACTAAAGTACTACAATCTGTACTGAAAAAGTGTAATCCCAAATGTAACATGTGTTATTTGACCACTTTCTAAACGGCATTGTGTATTCACAACTTGATACACACGAGAGGAATAAATGAAATACACTTAGGAGTGATCAGCTTACTGAACGTTAAGCAGGACACGTCAACAACCATTAGTGGAATCAGCTTACTCCTCACGAGAGGAAGCAAGGTAGTTATTGTGAGAGCAATCAGCTCACTATGTTGCTAACGTCAGAGGAAGAACCTCACTGCACAAGAGGAATTGGCTGAGTACATGTGAGTGGGAGCAACTCACTACACGCTATTCACTACCCACGAACAGATAAATATGCCGTAATACAAGATATATTTAGCTTATGGGGCATGCGGTGTGATGAATTGATTTTTGAAAATGATATATCAATTTGTTCGTGCATCGTTCATATTTTCAAATATTCCTCACTCAATATCTAATTGTTAGACAGGCAGGTAAGCAGGCCACTCTGTTTTGATAATACTTCTAAACATAAACATACCGACGGAGTTTACGGTGACATAAGTGAAATTGTCTTTTTTAACAGCTGTTTGAGTATACCGTCGCCACATATTGTCAAGTACGCTCTGATAACTCCCAAAGCGTGTGCTGAATACAGCGGTGACTACTACGGGAGTTTGCACACGACCGCTCTGTCTCCAACTGTATCAAGTCAACCCGCTTGAGGACGTGACATACAGCAGTGACGTCATACCGTGTATATCCTTGTCTTTACGACCACGCCTTGGGATAATGCGAGTGGCGAATTATATTGATCCCCCTTCACAGCCAAGCCCAAATAAGACACACAGCGGACACACACAGCGGACACACACAGCGATGGAAACGGGTGAGTTGTGTTTTGCTACAATGTCGCTTGTTTTGTCCAGCTTGTGTGCACTCAACATTGACGCTAGTTACTTTTGAAGTGTCCTATGATACCTGTCATATGTCTGATGAAATATACTAATATACACGTATATCAGAATAGTAACCCTGACAACGGTAATATGTGGTGGACAGCTTTATATGTGTCCGGATCATTTCATCATGGCTATATGTACATATATGCATAGAATATGTAATGATATGTATAGAATATACTATAACTATGGCCTTGCAATTCACGAGGATTTGATATTCAGGAGGGTGTGAGGGAACTTTGCTCGACAGGTTCAAGGCAGCTCTCGCTCGTCGCTATATGGCTGAAACGATCCCGATGCGATGTAAAACGTCAGCTCTGTATATTTTGTTTTACCCTAATCGCATTATTGTCCTATCAGTTACTCACCCCAATGGACAATCCCTTTCTTTAAACTTTGTTCTGATGGATGATTTTGTGTTTGTTTGTGTACATCTTTCGTGCCTCAGCACTTGACGGAGACACTTCCTCAACCACCCATTACCTCCCCCATCCTCCCCATTCTTCTGTGGTATGGCCCTAACCCTATGGTTATTACAACATCAACACAAGTGACCCAGTAGTCTTCATGACATCTTGTAACTGTACCTGATACACCACCGGATGGCAGGTCGACATGAAATTACATTCACCGTAACTAAATACTCATGTTTGCATTATGCAACCATTATGCTTGAGCCTGAGAGTAGGATATGTCCCGTCTGTAAATGTTTGTTTTCAGGGTGAACATCGTGATGTCCGTAACAGATTTAGAATTCATGACCTTTTTTACGTTTGAAATACATTATACATAAATGATGAAAGGCCTTTCAGACTGAACCACGGGCTAAATAACATGTGGCATGTTCGTACAAATGTATGCGTCACCATGCCTGAAGGGGCCATGACATAACACAAGACCTTGCATGACCCCCTTCTGTCACTCACTCTGAGAGACAGGGAGATTCTCTATCACAGATGTTTTTACCTTCGTGGAGGAAATGTCAACGATTGCTGTGTAGTGGAGATAAATTATAAAGATCAAGGAAAATATTATGACGTGCACATTTTAGAAAAACCTAGATATTGTTTTTTAAAAAACATAATGCATTGTCAACATTTTACTCGTCACGTTTTTTAACTGGATTGGTATAATGCACTTCGTAAATACAGTATACCTGTTCCCGTATCAACTAATGTATGTTGGGGAGGTGTGGGTGTGGGTAAATTGGCTTTTTGTGGGGTTTTTGTCACATGCTATCTACCGGGCCACCTGGCCGGATTCCTAATCCAGTGAGTCGTTACATACGACAAGCCAATCTTGTAGGGGACCTGCACTTGGTCCCTGAAATCCAATGTTAGACAACTGAGTCAGTTACTGTATTATAAAGTACTGTTTTATGCCGCCATTTTAGCATATTCATTTGCAGGAGAAATCATGCATGGAAACAGCTTGAAGCTTCGTGCCCATTAACGTAAAGAATCCTGGATCTTGTAATAACTAACGATCACTTTAACCACTTGGCCACCCAGCACCCTGTACATACCAACCAGCTTGTAGTGAAACAACTGCCACCACTTACTGCAGTATCCGTGAGACAACGTCACGATCCTTAACTCAAGCTCTGGTCTGGTGATTCAATATATGAATAGAAACATTATTTTTGTCCTTTCAGCAGGCGGGTTAGATCCCCATGGCCGTTCATCGACCGACACATCAGTCAGAGGTACCACACCCCTTACCGTCTCTCTTCATTATTCACATATTATACACGCCATATGTCATTAATTCTACCATGACTTCAGTAAATACTGGATTGTGATTGGTTAATTAAAGTCATTCAGAGGTATATAATCACCTTATATACCTCTGATTTTCCAACACAGTATGTATTTTCTTAAAAATCTTAACTATGCGGTTATGGTAGAATATGTTGTATTGTACAGAGCTTTTATATTTCGTTATATACTTCTGATTTTCCAACACAGTATGTTTATCTCCTAAAGGTACCGAGATCTCATTGCAGGCTCCCCTTAACCCCAAACAGGGTGTAGATTATCGTGTCATGTTGGTGTTGTTCCCGCGTGTAGGCGAGGAATGCCATTGTGACGTTTTTATCTCACCTGTTTATCAGGTCTTCCAGCCTTTTGAATCGACGACTTCCTTTTAAATTTCGACATTATGGAAACAATTTAAGAATCCCTTCGCTGTGTTTGATATTCACAAAATGCTTCAAGTATTTCATAAAGAATCGCCACAGATAACTGCAGGATGAAACACATCATGCGACCTGGAACGCACGCATGCACACAAACACGGTGTAGGGTTGAAACATGAAAACATTGTATTATATGTATTATATGTGAAACGTGTGTAATTATTTTGAAAATGTTCTGTTCAGATGTGCGCAGAGTCTTGCTGTGTGTGGTGATAGCGGAGCTGGTCCTGGTCATAGTACTGCTGAAAATAGTTCTGTAAGTACAACCAGATACTTTTGTAAGTACAACCAGATAGCTCTGTAAGTACAATACAATGGTTCTGTAAATACAACCAGATAGTTCAGTAAATACAATAAAATGGTTCTGTCGGTACAAGTAGGTAGTTCTAAAACTATAACCAGTACAAACAGAAAGTTACGGTCACGCGATAGTACAACCACATATTTCTGAAAGACTGTTGTGTAACGGTCAGATGTCTTTGTAAGTACAACCAGATAGTGCTGCAAGTAGAATTAAATTTTACAGGCAATTATTTATGTACAAAGACATTTTTCTGTAAGTGCAACTAAATTCTATTGAATAACGAGGAGAGTTCTATGGATATACAACTTCTTTAACATAATATGAGCGACGTTTCGGTGTAGCTACTAACACCGTTATCAAGCATTTTTTTGCTTTATTATATTAAAGAAGTTGTATATTCATAGAACTCTCCTCGTTGTTCATCACACCAACTTCTAAATGCCACTCAAACAAGTTAAATACTATTGTTAGTACCAAAAGATATACCTGCAATAGACCTGGAATAGCTGCTCTGCGATGGTGTAGAAGACAAAAGGAAAAGAGCTACCTCTCTAAGGTCATGGCTCTTGCATGCTGCTGTATGAAAAGAAAGTGCGTGAAAGTTAACAATATTAAGAAAATCCGATGTTTGTGTTGTAAAAGTATTTGGACAGGGAGATACCATTCAGACATAAACTCATGTAACCGATCTCTCTTATAGATGCTCTCACTTGAAAACTGACTGACTGAGTATGGTTTTACGCCGTTTTAGCAATATTCCAGCAATATCACGGCGGGGGACACCAGAAATGGGCTTCACAAATTGTACCCATGTGGGGAATCGAACCCGGGCCTTCGGCATGACAAGCGAACGCTTTAACCACTAGGCTACCCCACCGCCCCTTGAAAACACAATCATTATGTATTTCTTGACTTAGGCATAGTTTATCTGTCCTGTTATAAAATGACTTCTTAAAGGCTCTTCTTATGTGACTCGATAAAAGGGAGGTAACTATGCAGTTAACAATGGTTAAAAAGTATATTGTTTTACGATCGTGTTCAAGGTCGAACTCGGAGAAATTGGTAGGAGACCGAAACATCATATTTAAGAAACCAACCCCTCTGTACACATCACCCGGTTATTTTCGTTCAGATTTAGATAATCGTCCATCCTTGATTCACTCCTACACGTACTGACTGAATCGTGATTCATTATCTGAAACATATGATAGAACTGAACTAGACCCCAGGATGAAAACGCTAAATGAAGTAATGTACCAACACTCTTTTGTTTCAGCCATTACATCAAACAGAGCACTGCCGGAATGCCACAAGAAGAAGTCACGGATGAACTCAAACCAGATTTAGTACAATGCACAACTGGAAACTCAGATACAAACTCAATACGAAATGATGTATGTGATCAAGATCTGATCAACCTGAATGATTCACAGGAACTTCCAAATTCCAGGACAGATACTGGGCGTAGTGCTAAAAAGGTGCGAGAGCTTAAGCAGAGAAACAGATACGTCCACAATTACAGGACAATGGGGCTGCAGTCGTGTGACGACACCGACCTCACCGGCTTGTACAGCAGCACGGAACGGTTCGGCAGCACAGACAGTCATGTGTATGAGACCCTGAGTCTGAGCAGTGATATGTCTGACTCAAATACAAGACTCAGTAGTTCCAAGACAAGTAACATGTCGACAAAAAAAGAAGGGGAAAAGAGCAATACAGACTCTTCCGGCAGACTTCATGCTTTGACAACAACACGGGGACGGAAGTTTCGAGGAGTTGTAACTGAGAATATATACTCACAAAAAATAAATACGCGCTTTCATGTTTTCAAACGTCAGACATGATGTGTTTGTTTGCCCGTCAACTTCAAAACACATCGAATAAGATTCGTACTCGAACATTGCTGTGTTTGATTCCCTCTTGCCTGAATACACAGAAAAATATAATTTGATTGTTTGGCCTTTGTTGCTAAATATTACAAAACTGCCAATATGCGTTTTCGAAACGTTTCAGTATAGATATGTTGCTGTGACCCTAAACCAGGCTATTTGGGCATAACATGGATCTTTTTAGAACATTTGTTACTTAAGTTACTGATATTACGACTGTTCCCGTTCATTACCGTCCTGTCGGGTACTCATATTTCGGAATGGACTGGAATTTGGTCGTAACAATCACTTCGCGAGACGAATGTTATCTAAATGGGTCGGGTTAGACTTTATTGTTTGCGAGACCTAGATCAAAGTTACAACAGCAGTGATAAGCCACAACCTCACGTACTCAAACCTATCTACACTCGTGTTCGTGTGGAACTGATCTGGCTGTGACGCTGCTGCAATTCTCAATATATGCTCCTAAAACATGTAAAGCAGGACACGATTCTTTCATATTTCTGTTACCCTTACCTAATGTATGTGGTTTATAGCTGCACACATCGTCATCTCTTTTCCTTGATGACACCCTCCAAGAGACAAACTTGCTTTTTCATTTCGTCAATATTTTCTTTTTTTCGAATCCAAGTCCATTTGAATGCAGAAACAAGACTGCCTGTACAAATACCACAATTCCGACTAAGAACCGGAATAAATCCATAAACATGTTCTGGCAACCAATTCATGAGAAGGCCACTTGATCGGGTGGTTGCTGCCTTGGTTGGTTGCATGTCATCGAAACTCAGGAATTGAATGCGTGGCTTGAATATTGCTGAGTGCGGAGTGACAAACGCAGTTGTGCTGCCAACGCTTTGTACCCACCGATAACAAGGCATACACTTGAAGCCAACACTCTTATGAAGTATATTCACGGGTATTCAAAATATTCCTCAAAATCAGATAATGTACTGATACAATCTGGATCTGTTATGCAAATAGAACGTGCCGTACATGGCACAGTCTTGAGACTGTGTTCGGATGTTTCGGAAAGTGTTTCTGGTTGTGTTTAATGTGGCGTGATGCAGCTCCATGTTGTCGGCTCAAGGCATCCCAAGCTGTTGTCCTAAAAGAAGAGTCCTGCCCCAATAAAGTTGCCCCATGCTAATCGTTGAGTGTTCGGATGAGTAAGAGAACAAGTCAGAATATTTAAACTGTACATCAAAGAGATTATATTCTTACCTTAATTACAATGCAAAAGTATGGGTTGTTTTTCTGCAGTAACATTAGCATAAATAGGACCCTGGAGATCCGGGTTAGAATTGGTCTTCAGCAACCCATGTTTGTCGTAAGAGGCGACTAACGGGATAGGGTTGTCAGATGAAGTACGATTTTGAGGACATGTCCCCAAAATGTATTAAAATACACCTCTAAATCCAATATGACTACCATATCGCGTGACCAGTCGTCGGGGTAAAACATGTAGCATCAAGAATCTAGAGCTTCAGGAACCTTGGGAGTTTGATAGTTTGATACTGCTGTCGAGTAATATGACTATGTCTACGTGAATTAATGTTAAATAATCTACATTTCCTCGCCCAGCTGACAGCTTACTATGTCATACCCGGTACGTAACCGTTCACGCACACATAAACAGTTTGGACAGAATCGGAAACCATTTAAAAAACAAACAAAAAAAAAAAAAAAAAAAAATTAATTTATCAACGGTCACAAGGTGATCCTTGCCATACATTACTTGAGACATAATTATGCCATTTTCAAGCTGTTGACATCACCATCCGACACATTTGTCAACAAGCGCTATGACCATAATAATAGTTACCAAAGCGAAACATGAGTCTCATGAACCAATTCAGACAATGACCTACTTTTCAGCCGATCCGAATTTTCTCGTATGAAAGTGAAAAGAGACACTACAAACAACTATGGTTACAGAAAATTCCAATTCCCTGTTTCATAAGAAAATGGCATTTTCATTGCTCATTACCTTCAATGTTTGCATTTGCATATGGAGTCTACAATGTCGTAAAATGGTGCCACAAAGAGAGCATTTATTGATTCCTATTGGTCTCCGGTACCAATAAACTGTTTTGCATTATGCCTATTGTTTTTTTTGTTTAATTTAGATATAGATATATAGAATATATATTTCTTGTTTTAGATGTAATATCGCTAGCATTAATTGTTGTTTCATTTTGAATAGAGAAATTATTGAGCGAACACATTTGAACTATGCAATGTTTACACCTAATATAGGATAATGTACAATCTGGAAATGATGGGAAAATTCGCTTTATGCATAACATATTATTCTTAAAATGGTCAAGTTTCATCATAACATTGGTGGAATAGACTCAGGATTTTGTACTCCACTCTGACTCTTATGGGCAACCAGTGTAAGGCTCGTAAAACTGGGGAGATATGTTCTCTCTTTGACACTTTTTTGACAATGCGAGCTAATGAGTTTTGTACTCTGTAGTTTTGAGATGAGTGTTTCTGGTAATCCGTAGTAGGCACTGTTGCAATAATCTAACTTCGATAGCACTAGGGTTCTAACAAGTGCATGAGCAGCTGGCATTGATGTTGCTGACATTTCTTAGCTGGAAATAGCAAGCTTTGCAGATGTTGTCAATGTGTGTCTTTAAAAGTATGTTCCGAATCCAGGTGAAGTCAAAGGTCTTTAACACTATTGGAGAATGGTATGATGGAGTTGCATACTGGGAATGCAGTTTCTGTGACTCGAGATCGAAGTGGTGAGCTACCAACAAGCAATGCTTCAGTTTTGCCTTCATTTAATTTCAGCATATATGAATTCGTCCAGTTCTTTATATTCACAGATAGAAAACCTACTAAAGAGTCCACTAGAGGCATCCAACTTGCTAGAATCTAACAGCTGGGTGCCATCAGCATACATATGATGGCTAACTGTGTGCCTCCGAATGACATCTCAAGATTTCTCGGATAGAGAGTAAACAATACCGGTCGGAGAACCGATCCTTGAGGAACTCAACAACATAACTGTGTTTTCTCCGATGACTTGTCTTTGACGATTGCCGATTGCTGGCGTTCAGACAAATGTGACTTGAACCAAGATAAGGCAGTACCACGTACTCCAAAAACTGTCTCCAGTTGCTGAATTTGTACAGAATGGTCTATAGTATCGAACGCCGCGGACAAGTCCAAGAGTGAGAAAACGTCAATGTTCCCATTGTCCACAGAACACAGCAAATCATTAACAAAAGAAATCAATGCTGTCTCGGTACTGTGCTTTGGCCGATAAGCAGCCTGAAACTTTTCATTAAGTTTACACTCCGCAAGATGTGCGCAGATTCTAACCTTCACTGCCGTTTCAAGCAGTTTAGAAATATAGGGTAAGAACGAAACTGGGCGATAGTTTTTGAGGATATTTTCATCACAACCAGGTTTCTTTATCAATGGTTTTATAAATGCTTCCTTCATAATTGAAGGAACCTTTCCGGAAGTCAAGCTCAGGTTTATCAGCTTTCTTATTGTTGGTACCAGAACATCACTAAACTCGAGTAAGAGTTAAGTTGGTAGTGGGTTTGCATATGGTTGGCTTGCTGGTTTTGACCAGAGTGTCGACCTCCTGTTCTGTGAGAGGTTCCAAGTGTTTACTTCCTGTTCTGTGAGAGGTTCCAAGTGTTTACTTCCTGTTCTGTGTGAGGTTCCAAGTGTTTACTTCCTGTTCTGTGAGAGGTTCCAAGTGTTTACTTCCTGTTCTGTGAGAGGTTCCAAGTGTTTACTTCCTGTTCTGTGAGAGGTTCGAAGTGTTTACTTCCTGTTCTGTGAGAGGTTCCCAGGGAATCCACAACAGCGATCTGTCTGTCTAGGATTCAGGGATTAAGGTCGGACTTGGAGCATCAATAATTTCAATCCTGATGTCGTCACGTGACTTTTCTATTTTTGAAATGAAAATAGTCACTGAAGTTCGTTGCAAGCTCAAGTGAATCTTGTGATTGTGGAAGTATATCATCCTTCTTCTTTCCCAGAAGAGAAGCGACAAATCTATGTATAGCACTGGATTTGTTCTCTAAGCTTATAACTTTGTTTACGCAAAACTCTGTTTTAGATTTTCTGATGAATTGTGTTACTATATTTCTACAGGACTTATACATTTGCCTGTGACCTTCTAGCTTGGGGTTTCGCCATCTCCGCTCTGAAATTCGTCTTTCCCTTTTGGCCTGCATGATATCTTCAGAATACCAGAGGAATGAGGATTTGACCCTTACAGCTTTGATAGTAGAAGGTGCATGTACATCCAACAAGTTTGACAAAGTATTGTTGTACAGCTCGCACAGACTATCCAGTCAGTAGGAGGGTGTTGAATTTTGTTGACTATTGCATTATTTTCCCGAGAGAGTAACCAATCTAAGATATGCCCAGATTTGTGAGTTGCTTTGTTGATATGTTGATTGAAGCCGTGGACATTAAGCACTCTGAAGAACTTCTTGACATCTGGTTTAGATTTATAATCAAAGTGTATGTTGAAGTCACCCATAATTATCATTGATTTCTGTAAATTATCTCTGAGAAACGTGGAAATTTCCTCGATAAACAAATCAAATGTAAGTTTATTACTTATAGATGGTGGAGGTCTATATCTACATATAGATCTCAGAAAACACTAGTGGTGGTCCGATTAATTGAAATAATCGAAGATTGGTCGTAGTTACTAAACGACCAAGCAATCGATCATAATTTCTCATAATCGAACACAAACAATTCTGGAACACTTGTTTTCATTAACAATATTTTTCACATGGTTGGTTTTGTCTGTTACATTTTGTAAGCACTACAAGCTCGTTCCAAGTCATGATTGAATTTATCTTAAAGATTCCAAGAAATTTATGTTCCTAACATACTAGTCATCCTTTAAAGATGTGAAATTTTGCCAACGACTTTCCCCTTATTTAAATGTGCATTAACAAATTTCATAAATGACATGGGTACAACGTGTGAAGCCCATTTCTGGTGTCCCCCGCCGTGATGTTGCTGGAATATTGCTAAAAGCGGCGTAAAACCAAACTCAGTCAGTCAGTTAGTCATAAATGACGCTAACCAATAATTATTTTCGATGATTAATCGGTAGTAATGAACAAATCATCAATTATGAGATTTTAACCAATTCCCAACACTAGAACACACTGATCATGAGATATGACAACATCCAGAAGTTCGAACGACTTTCTGTCAGGTCCATCGTGTTCAATCACAGTTGGTGTTATTTATGTCCTATGTTTAGGTATTTATATCGAGTTGGTGTCATTTATGTTATCTTAGATTCATCCCCATACTTCTTAAGCCATGTCTCTGTTACAAACAGAATATCCACTTCGTTGTCAATCAAATTATCTGCTATGTCCATGGTTGTATTTCTTGAAGACTGTGCATTCCTCAGCAACAGTAATCCAGCTAGGACTGGCAGGGTATAATGGTCATCACACACAATGCGAGTCTGCTGGTCACTTGAGATGTCTGGTGAGACGAGAAGCTCCCCTCACATACCAAACTAAATGCAAATCCCTGGGCCAGAATAGTCCATATAGTGGTAGTAGTTTGTAGAACCTTCCAGAACTCTATATAGTCTAGCACAAGTCTAAATATAACACACCACACTGAATATCACATGCACAGTGTATTACACTTGGAGCATTGTTTCACTGCCACACAACACACTATATTCGGTAGAAGGCAATAAGCAAACGTTCAAATGGAGACTTCATTGTTGGAAACATTGTTGAACTAACAGAAATAGAATAATTTATCATTAAATTCATTTTATTCAACATTCAACATGTATCAGGACATATTGCCTAAAGTATAGTGTTATTCACATATACAACAGCTTAACAGTTTACTTATAGAAAATACGTGTTTAAGATTATTGTATTTGATCATCCAATACGAAAACCATAACATCTATAGCTTTGGTATCAATTCGGAGAAGTTAGTCCTGTTTCTATAGCTTCCGAATGAATTCGCACAGGAAATATTGTTTCAGAAAACATTCGTTATCAAACCAGTCCAAATACCGAATAGTATCGTTGTAAATGACGGAAAGACAGTCCTGATTCCCGTAGTTGTTCGGCTGTGTGTTAAATATTGACCAGGCAGTGAAGTCGAGTTGTCGTCCATCCAGCCACACCCACGTGTCTTCTGTCTCAACATCCGACGCCCCCAACCACACATACTCCGTCAAACCTACAAAGACATTAACTGGATACAACGCTCATATTCCATATCTGGGTATTGCTCACAGAAAGATACTCGAACAAAATGGAAGGTTAGGTTCAAAACCAACAAGGACTCTACGTGAACACTATGGAAGGTAGAAAACAGATAAAGACGGTACACGAACAAGGTTCAAACAGGGATGGTGCTTGAATAATTGGGAGGGGTGCAAATCTAGTCGCGACGGTACTCGAACAATCGAGAAAGTACAAAAGCAATCTGGACGGTACTCGAACAATTGGGAAGGTATTTTAACCGTAATGAATTCAAACGAACAATCAGGACGGCACAAGGACAATGAGGAAGGTCATGATGAAGAATGAACAAGGACAAGCAGGAAAATACAGTGACAATCAGGAAACTACACCAATAATAAGGAAGCTAAACGAACAATTGGGAAGGCAAGGTAACTTCTGAATTCGAGTGAGTTGGGTTTTGAGCCGCTTCCAGCAATATCACGGTGGGGGGGGAGACGAGAAACGGGCTTCACACATTGTTGGACAGGATTTTGATGAGATGAGATCAAGACGGAGGGAGGATTTATATCATATATACACAGCAGCTTGGCACTGTATCTGGGGTGAAGGTATTGCTGGCACCGGTAGATTTGGCTTATTTATATGTATATCTTGCCTTCATGTAAAATGCTTTAATTTCTTTGGTTAATGACCCTTTATCAAGTTTCCGTGTCACCCCTCCCAGGAGGATGACAACTGGAAAAGATATCCCCCGCTGCCACGGTAACCGAAAACTCTCCACCGAGAAGTTGTATCACTAAAGTACTGTTGGAAATGCTAGAAAAATGCTTTTTGACTTATATTTAAAATTCAGAGGTATTACAGTTACTTAAATAACAAATATCACTTCAAGAAACATCTACCTAATGTAGACCGAGGGAATAAATTTTGAAACATGCCCTAAAATGTGTTTTTACTGATGAAAATACCAAAAACTTAGAAAAATAAGGGGTAGTGGGACGTTATTTGATACAAACATTAATTGCCTGTGTTACGTCATCAGCATCCACGGTATCGACAGGTGAAATTGACACCTGAGCACACGCTCGGGCGAGGGGTCATCTCAATAGATGTTTTCTGCAAAATGTTGAATATGTGTACGTATAGTATACGTATCTGTTATGTAAGGGATCATTAGTGTATGTGTGTTTGTTTTGAAATAAACATACGAATTACTGTAAATTGGAAAGAGTCCGATCACTTGTGTTATCTTATCGATTGATTGTAGAAATGTGCAACGTTTTAATAAATGTTTTGCATGTCAACAGTATATTTCATTGAAAACATATGGATGTAATTCGGTCAGTTTAATCTAGTTGTGAACATTGGCCAAAGATTTAACGAAGTCACTGGTGTAGCTTCTTTAGAATATGTATATTTTTCTTCTCATAAAGTTTGTAGACCGCCCGTCTAAGCACTCCCTTGTCAAAGTTGCCAAGGATGGTTTTACGTCCCGGTTTTGCATTTGAGACGGTCCCTGTCTTGTCTGATTTGTTTACAATATTGTAAACTTGTTGGTAAGACATGCCAACAGCTCTACAAGTTCAGTAATAAACCCTTTCTAAACTAATGAAAGGTTTAACTCTGTCTTTTTTAAGCAGAAAAAAACTATAAACCTTTGCAACAATCGACTGCAAATCGTTGGCCATAGTGGACGCTGTGATAAAGATGTGCATGCATGACGGGAAACTTATTTATCAAGACTTAACATTTATAATAATATTTCTTCAATAAAGAAACGATAATTAAGTAAAGTAACACAAACATTGAATATTTATTTGTTTAGGAAAAACGTTAATTCATATTTTTACACCACCTGTATTATTAGCATAAATGTAAAGACTATTTCAGATTTCTGTTGTTGAACTCTGAAAAAATATTAAGTTGCTGTTTTGGTACCAAATTCTCTCCTGTAAACTGCCCTTTAAATGCATGGGAATGTTAAATCGATTGAAATAAAAATTAGGTAGACAATAGGCGAGTTGATATATTGACAACATAGTACATTTATCACCTTTATAAAGATATTAAGGCTAAAAAGCATTTTTCTAGCATTTCCGACAGTACTTTAGCAATCGTATGACGTCGTAATATGCAGTGCAGTTTGACCATTGGTGTGAAACTCTTCTCCAACATTGACGTATTTCTATCCAAAGAATTGTTAAATGCAATTGAATGTGAATAACTCAGATAAGCCATTATCACCTGAAACTCTAAAAGATCTGTCCAGGTTTTTTTACACTTTTAAATACATAATGAGGTTAAAAGTGTCAAAATCACTTGACTCGTTGTCATGACGGTATGTACTGACTTCACATGGTACGTTGTCTATCTATACTCCGCTAAGGTGATATTCGGGGATATAGACTGAAATGAACATAATTTGAAATCAGCCCGTTATTTAAAAAACTGACACGCGTGCATATCTTGCCATTAGCCTTTAAAACATGGCGTGCGTATAATTTCTCACTACCCTGTCAGGACAGACGTGCGCATAATGGGTCGTACAATTTCATAACTAACACGTTTTCTTAATTTGTCATTGGCCTTTCAGAACCGATCGCGACACGTGTGGAATACATTGTCATTAGCCTTTCAGAACTGACACGTAAGGGATACATTGTCATGAGCCTTTCAGCGCTGACACGTAAGGGATACTGTGCTACTGCCTTTTAAAACCAACCCATGTGAATAACTTGACATAAGACTTTTCTACCCGACATGTTCATCGTTCCCCAGAACTGACGTATGTACCACGCTTGGCATGTACCTAAAGTCAGTACACTAACCTTTCCCTCTTATAAGGGTTTCTACGTCCTGTCGTTTCTTGGGAGTGTCGATGAAGGCCAAGGTCCCGTGTTGTCGCTGGCATTCAGCTGCTGAGTCTGCCCAGTTGAGTTTCGAGGTGGAGATGATGAACTCTGTGGTGTAGGTAGACCCATAGGACGTACTGGTCTCTGTGAAGAAATGGTGTTTTGTCAACACAACATAACACTGTTCATTGATAGTAAGGGAACGATAATTTGATATTCGTGAGGGGGCCTAGTAGGTACTGTAAGGGGGTTAGTTTGTCACTTATCGCTCAAAGTTGCTACTGTTTTTGAATGAAAGGTCAAACTTAGGAATATTTATTTCTAGCATCGCTTGTATTTAAACCAAATACAATAACATCTTATAAACTGTTGATGGATAGCGATGAGGACGCATTGAGATGAGATTCAACCAATATCAGATAAAACGTTATGAATTCCCACTAATATGAGATAAAACGTTTCAATGCCAAGATATAGATTGATATCTTCCGCATTCATCTTGTACGGTATCAGTATTTGTTGATCTGCGGATGCCCAGAAAACTTTTACATGCTTGCAACTGTATTTTCTCAATGCATTTAAACCTTTGATTTCCCCATACCACAGAACTATACAAAATAAATGGCAGGGTTTTATTGTCAACGATTTTAAAATATAGTTCAAATTAGAGATTTTCAAACTTAAACAAACTGAACAGTTATGAGAGCCTCTTAGCTTTAAGAGTAAGCTGGTTTATAGATGCCTGCCAAGTGAGATTTCCAGAAAATAACATATCCAGGTAGTTGCACGATGATGAAACTTCATTTTTGTAGATCCACTTTCCGTTCTAGAGAGATCGCCTCCATGTTCAAATACAACAATGTTTATCCTGCCTCACACATAAATGTCGTTTTCTGATTGGCTGAGCGCTCGTCTATTATTTTCAACGTACTCCGCTTACAAGCGAGTAACATTTTCTATGTACCCCGCTGGGAATGCCGAACTCATTTGGTACTTCGTAGTAGTAATTGTTTATCTGGAATAACATTGAATCGCGTATGACGTACGGAAATTACCGATGTTTTGCGAATGCAAATCGATGGAAGGGAGATAACTCTAAATTTGTTTTTCTTGTTGTCTTGTCGTCGGGTCTCCATACTATGATCCGATCCGATGCTTCAAACAGTTCAAAATTACCATTGAGGTGTTCGGTAAGATAAATACGTTGTTCACTGGTCCCTCGGGGCCCACGGGATGACATACCCTCGATGTTTCTTTTTTTTCCTTTCAGGCTCAGGGAATATAAAGGAACATCGAGGGTACATCAGCCCATGTCCCCCTCGTGACCAGTGAACAACTTATATTGTCTTGTTTACATTTATTTAAAGACTCCATGTTTTGAAGTAATTTTCTAAAGTATCAATTTGTCTTTTGAGTCCATTTATAGTATCAGAAAACATAACATCATCAGCAAATACAAGAAGGAACAGCTCGAGTAAGGCAGGGAATAACTGAACGTCATTTATAAAAGTGGACCTGATTTCGTCGACCAATTCATTAATGAAAAATGAGAACAGAAACGGACTGAGAAGACAACCTTGTCGTATCCCTAGAGGACATCCAAACACTTCTGTGTTTCCGTTATTCGATGTACACACACAGGCTTTCACGTTTTGGTACTCAGACACTTTGTCGACTTTTTAACCAAGTCCGTCTTTTCTGAATAAATACCAAAGCATTAGTCTGTTGACAGAATCGAACGCTTTTGAAAATTCAATAAAACAGCCATACAGTTTTCCACCCTTTTTGAGAGGTATTTACTGATAAGAGCGTGTGAGGTAAAGATATTTTCAATGGTAGAGTATCCTGTTCTGAGTTCTGTAATGGGAGTTTTGGACAAGGACATCAAAACGGTCGACCAAAATGGAACTTATTTATTCATCACAAGTATTTATTTTTTTCTTTCGGTCGAAAACCTCGATTTTTTAGCGATCAATGGTAGAACATCCTGTTCTGTGTTCTTTAATGATAGCTTTGGACCACGACATGCGGCACTCGCCTTTATCAAAACACTCGACCAAATGGAAATTATTTATTCATCTTTGACCTTCGCCGTAAACATCATTGCAGCAGCGTCAATGTCGGGACAACAACAAGTACCTAGATATGTATTTGATGAGCAGCAGGGGTTGTCATTCTAGTCCCAGTGATATAAATACAATCGAACTGTGTGGTGTCTTCAATATGACGATTCTACATTTGGTTCAACTTCAACCCTACAGCCTACAAGTAACACATACAAGTTCCGGAGACCGTAGATACATCCGGAAAATGTTAACGTCACAAATGAGAACATTCTATAAGCCTTACCGCAAACAGTGCTGGACACACGTGTTACCACACACTTCTCATGCTTCCCACAGGTCTGGTTGATACAAGGCCCTGAGGCCGTCACCTTGAACAAAACAATGAAAACGTAAACGAGAATCCGTGGCCTTAAAACTGTGCGGTGTAGTTTGTTTGTTTCATTACAGGATCTTTATAACCAGTGAAACCCTATATAAAACTATAGGGTAATTCTGTTGGGCAATCGTGCATAGATTATGTACAAGGGATATACATGTACTAAATACATGGGATATGTTTCCATAGCATTAGGAGATTACACTTCTAAAGGATTTATCCAGTGCAAGGTCTGGCATGACGCGTTGAGGTGTAGGTACATTTCCGGAAAATAAACTGGCATGTATGCTGAAGAATGGTCTCATTTCCACAATCACTGACTTTGACTCACATGTAAAAAATGCTTGTGTTTACAGGTTGCATCTAAAAACAGATAACAAAGATAGCAAAACCGACAAAACAAATGCAATTTAGAACTCATTAGAAGGTGCACCCACCAGTTGCCATCCAGCAATACTACTGTACACAGAATCCTCTGCAGCAATCAAGTTTTCAGGTCTCAGGATATCATCTTCAAAGTTTAGAGAGCAAGATTTTGTTTTCCTATTAAAGTTGAAGGATTCGCAAAATCCATATTTATAGCATTCAACAGCACATGGAAATATTGAGGTGTGTCGTTCTTCAGCAAAATCTGAATGTTGAAGATATTTTCCTTCTTTGATTAACCCATTCGCCAAACAAGAATCCAGAGAACCACCTACTCCAGTAGTCAGGCACAGTGTGACCAGCAGATAGGCAATGCCTGTGTCCATGGTACGCACAGAGGACATGTGCATGAGGAAATGTTGGCTGAGAACTGAATATATACAGTGTTCACCTTCTTCCAAGTCACTATCACCACGTCAAAACCTCCTGCACTGTTGATCAACCTACTGTCTTTCTCAACACAAGTATTATTTACTAGATGTATGTAGCAAAGTATTCCCTTACATCACAGGCTCCCATCTGTACAGAGCATAGAGTACAGTAGCGTTTCCCAGAGACCCTGTCGAACTTATGTTGTTGGTAGAATGGCAACAACGGATCTGTCATTGATCGCAAGGAGTGTCTCTATGCCTATCAGCGTATTTACCGGCGGTTCCTGGTTGGTGGTTTATATCGTCACCGTGGGACTGTTCATCATACATAGTGGTATGGCTCCTCCCCTGTGTTGTGAGAAACGTATGTTTAACATGTCAGCATTGTGCGTTCTTGATACTTGACTGACTTTGTTCTTATTTTGTTTTCGCTCCTGTTTTTCATTGAAGTATCTGAGGACCACTGAAAACGATAGATGTGTTTCTAAAGTATTGATTCAAACCATCAGACTCCCAATAGCATAGGTTTAATTGGCGCTCACCACTGCGTCGTACTATACACTTGAAACCTTGTTACACAATGAATAACACTTCCACGTAACAAATATATCACATCACCTGAGTGTTGTTCCAAAGCTCTGTTGAACCTGTGAGCATAGTGTGTTCGTAATCAGTTCAAATATTCTTGGCTAGGATGAGCATGTATTCAAGAGTAGAACCCGTTACGTTCAACGGTGGAGGCAAATCGCATCTATGGAGACAATCATGTTTTAAGGCGCATTTAGTTTGCGTGTTCCGTCATTCAAATTTGAGTGAACCGGTTGCCAGAGGTTTTCTGACAGTGAAGGTTAATTGGATTCCAACTGAGGTAGTCAACCCGAGTGAACTGTGTAGCACTAGACAGCGTAGGGCAATGCTTGTGATATAACACACAGAATACACCCACGTCTATGCTACACAATGGTTGCCATGTGGAGAAACACATCAGCCCTGTATATTGCTATAGCAAAAACGTCGGACAAGTTAACAAGGGTTATATTGATAGAAACTATGTCATACATTTTCCACTTTATATATGTAGAACTATAAAAAGTTAAAAACTTTAAATATATGTTATTGTAAAGTACATTGAATTATTTATTCTGAGAAAATATGTTACTTTAGAAGGCATTGTCAATATTTGTACACACCTTGGTAATTGTACTATACTGATTCAGTTACAATTGAGTTCATAACAACGTTTATTAACAATACCTAGGTGTCAGGAACGAATCACCATCTGATGTAAACAGTCACTTTGGTAAAGAAGTAGCAATATTTAGATGGTTTTGAGGTCAAGCGTGCTCTAATCTTCCAGAACAGCAAAGAACAATCCCGCATAGTATGGACATTTCTGGAAGGTTTTTAATTTATTTCCAAAATAGATTTGACCATATTGGTTTTATCACCGATTTATATTTTAAATTGCCATTTTGTTTACACTGCCATCGATTTTTGCACTGACATTCTGTCGATATAATTAATTTGCACTAGCTTGTATTAAGAGTAACTAGTTGTTAGATGTTATTGTGCAGTGTTTGTTGACATTGTAGAACAGTGCTGTATTTGTACTATATCGTTTCTGTAAAGAAGGATGGCAGTTGGGTGCGGGTTGCTATATTCGGAGACAAGACCCGTCTGGAATCTAGGTCTATTGATGAATATTCTTGTGTGACAAATGGTGTTGGAGAATGTTCTGGAAGCTTTTTATGTATATACAGACCAAGTTGTTTTACCAAACATTAAAGCGGTTATTACAAAGAAGATGGTAATTCACCATCAATGAGGTGGTTAACGCTATATACTTTATTGGTTTGTTGAGTAACCGCCATGTGCTCTGAAATGATCCCTCCCATCGTATTGTTG